CCTTCACTTAGTTCTTTTTTTAAATTGTTAATAGTTCCCTGACTGTTTTCCTTATCCCTTTCTAGGTTTTGGCTTTGGCTCGTTCTTGCTCTAAGTGTTTTCGGCTTCTTGTTGTTGGGCTTCGGCTTTGGCTTGTTTAATTCTTTCTTGTTCCTGTTCTCTGGTTTTCTCATTCTCGGCCTCAGATTTTTTTTGTCAATCACTAGCAAGATTTTCTAAATAAGCAAACTGTTTTCTTTCTTCCATCTCTAATTTTTGTTTATTGGTACAATTCATTATTTGGTGTTTCTCATTATAATCAGAACCAAATTTATCCTTGTAGTTTATTTCTCGGGCTTTTTGGTTAATTCTGGCTCAAACTTGTTCTTTTTCTTTTTTGAAGCGCTTGCCTTCTTTGATGATGAAATTTCTTAAAACCTTTTATTATTAATTTCTCCATAATTTTTTAAACAAGCACCGACATGATTAATATGCCATTCTTCTTTCTCTTTAGGTGAACCAATACAATCACAGCCATCAGGTTGTAAGAAAAAATAATTACAACCTAGTTCTTCGAGGTCGATTTTTGATTGATTTAATCTATCTTTAATTCGTTGTAAGGAAGCAAGACGAAAATTTTTTCCAAATTGAGAGATTGCCATAATTGTTTCTTATTTTTGAGTATTTTGTAAAGAAGTTTCTTGTCTTCACTGTGAAAATAATAACTCCATTTCTAATGGAGCTTCTCTTCTATCATACGTTCATTCTCAGTGAGAACTAAAACTTTTATTATCTTCGTAGGGACAAATTAAACCTGTGCAATTGAAAGCAGTTATATGGTTAAAGCCATAAACTTTGCAAGGGTCTCCTTGTTCAGGTTTATTGCCCCATATTCCTCGAGCATTTGCTTCTATCGTGTAATAATACATTCAAAAATTAATACCCATCTTTTCGATTAAGTTTTTTCATTTATCTTTTATACTTCTTTCATATCTGTTAGCAACATTATCATCTAGCCAATTCAAAAAACTCAATCAATCTCTTTTTTTTGTTTTTCTCAAATCTTTCAAATTATTTTCTAAATTACCTATCTTTTTTTTCTAAGTAGAGACAATAGCCGAAATTTCTTATTTTGTTTTTGCAATTCTTGATTTCCTTCTCTTAAATTTTCTAACTGATTTACTTTTTCGTCTATTCGTTCTGATAATTCTTGGATTTCAGTTGAATTTTCAACTAATTTTTTTTCTTGTTCTTCATTTTCCTTTTTCAATTCACCTATTTTTTCTGAACAACCCTCAATTGTTTCTCCTTGCTGTCCCAATTCCTCTACTAAATTATTTCACTTAATTTGGTATTCATCTCATTCATTAATTGATATTCTTTCTTTCTTTCAACCATTCGTTTATTTTTTTATCTTTTTTCCTTCACTTAGTTCTTTTTTTAAATTGTTAATAGTTCCCTGACTGTTTTCCTTATCCCTTTCTAGGTTTTGGATTTGGGTCAAATTCGGATTAGTGGAACACATATAACTTAATTCAGAAAGTTTAACAAAATTACTGGGTATTGGCTGTTTAAATTGGCTTAATATCTCTTGCAGATTTAATTGTTCTTCAGGAAGAAATTGTTCTTCAACAATTACAGAAATATTATTTTTATCTACTATCATAACGTTATTGTATTAATATTTATACATTTGGATAAATTATTAATATAGCAAGTTGGCTATATGATTTATTTTATAATCAGAACTTTTTTTAACCTTTAATTTTCCTTTTTGTCTATATACCAGTAAAAGTATATGACAGCCAAAGAAATCAAAAAGGTAAACACTGTTAGCACCCCAAGTCCGACAGTTGCGGCTCCTACTAACCAACAACAGCAAGCAGTAGAATTAAACTGTCAAAGATGTCAAAGAAAAGTCGAATTAATAAAAACACCCAGCCAACCCGGTAAGCAAATAATAAGTGGTAGTTGTCATCATTGTGGCACCCCTATAAAATGGGAAGAATGAATTGAAAAGCCAGATAAAGACCTAATCACTATCAAAGGAACCTTAACTTCTCAAATCCAACTAAGAGGAGAAAGTACCAAGGAACCTTATTATTACACCTTTATCAGGCTAAAAAGCCAATCCATCGATTTACCAGTTATTTTTAAGATTACAGAGCAAGACAATAAACTAATAGAACCCAAACTAAAAAAAGGTTCAGAAATCCAATTATCAGGCCATTACTCCAATTCCGAAAAGAATGTTCGCAAATCCTTCACGGCTTATTCTTACCAAATTTGTAACGAAAAGAGGATAAAAAAGAAATGCTTTGGTTGCGGGGATACTTTTACCTGTTCCCAGCCAGAAAATTACGATTACTGCTCTAACTGTGAACTAAATAGCAACCGTTATATTAGTAAAGATAACAAATGCTCCGAATGCAACGGCTTAGGAATAATCAAATTCCCTAATCAACCACCCCGTCCTTGTAAAACCTGCCATTTAGCCCAAGTAGCCAACTTAGAGCAAGCCAAAAGTCAATCACCGAAACTAGCAGCCAAGGCCGAGCAGATTATTGAACTGCATAAGCAATTAGAGAAAGAACCTTTACTAAGTTAGCACGATGAATAACTTTCCCAACTCGGACAAAGCCCAGGACTTCATCGGTCGCATAGTTAGTAAAGAAACCAAAAAAGTTTATCAAAAAGATAGTCCTTTTTATGGGCAAATTTATCAGAAATTAAAAGTATTAGCCGAAACGAAAGACCAGTCAATTACTTTATTTGTTTATCATAATTTAGTCGACCAAAAAATAGTCCATAATCTAGAACAAAGCCAGTATGTCGATAAAAGATATTTTTTTTGCTGTGAAAAATGAAAACGGGGTTTAGTTTTGTTGCAGTGGCAGGAATTAAAAAGCAAAGACCAATCATTAGAAAACTATGAAAAAGAATAATCGTTTAGAAAAAATAGTTCGATTTTCTTGCCCAGTTTGCCAAGCCCTTTACCAACTAATCGAAGTTCAACAAGAAAAACCCCAACTTTCCCCCATTCCCTTAAATGCTAGCCAGTGTGGTAATAATTGCCGACAAAGGTGAAGTGCTATCCTCCGCGAATATCACCAAGAGCAAATAATGCTGGATTTAGTAAAAAAGGAGCAAGCCAAAGAGCAACAGGCCGAATTAGCTCGTAAATTAAGCCAAATAAATAAAGAAAATCATCCTAAATAACTATGACTAAAAAAACATTACGCAAAAAAATAGAAAAAAAGTTAGCCCAATTAAGCCAATTATTAGACAAAATTGATGAAGTTAGAGCCATTAATTCCGATGAACCTGAAACTTGGGATAGTGATACCCTTTACAATCTAGTCGAAGATTTAAAAAAGGCTTTGGAATTACTGGAAGACCAAAAAAGTAAGCAATTGGATGACTGAGGAGAACCCTTAATTTTAGAAACTGGAATTTGCTCGTTAGTAGATGAATACCAATCAGAAGAGGAAGAAGCCAGCGAAGACTTTTAAACTTATGATAGCAATAATAATCAGCCTCTTATTAGGTGTAATTCTCGGTTTATCCTTAGCAGCAACCTCTCTCTGACTAATTAAAGTTAACTGTCCCCAGTGTAAGCAACTGAAACCTTTACGGCAAATAATCCTCTGACACTGAAAAGAGCGAATTATTACCGGCAAACTATGCCAAAAGTGTCAACGACCAAAACCCCAAATTGATATTGAATTATAAAACTATGAACTGAACTACTTATTGAGCCAACCAAAGAGCTAATCAGCCATCAAAAGTGAGTATTATGAATAATAATTTAACTCCCTACACTGAATATTTACAAGACAAAAACTTATCTCCTCACACGATAAGGCTTTATCTCCATACCTTAGAGAAATTTTCCCAGCAACTAACCACTAGCACTATTAAAGACTACTTTCAACAGAATAAAAAAAACTATGACCCAGGAACTTTAAAAGTCAAAAAAAGTGCTTTCAATGCTTATATCAAATTTCAGAAATTAGAAATTGAGTGAGAAAGAATTGCTCGGATAATTCCCAGTAGCCAAAGAAAGTTTTTTGATACCATTAACGAACAAGAATTAACCCGACTAAAAGCTGTAAAAATAGAGAAGAACCCAAAAGTTTATCAACGAAATAACCTAATTCTCGACTTCTTATTCTATTCCGGAGTAAGAATTAACGAACTAATCAATATTAAGCATTCCGATTGACAAAATAATTCCTGCAAAATCCACGGCAAAGGGAATAAGGTGCGTTATATCCTTTTACCTCCCTTCTTAATAGTTCATTTTGACCCTTATAGCCGCGATTATTTATTTACTAACCAAAGAGGCAATCCCATGAAAGCCGAGTATATTCGCTGATTACTGAAAGAACAGACTAAGCAAGCCGGAATTAAGAAAAGAATAACCCCCCATACATTCAGACGGAGTTTTGCCACTCACCTGCGAAAAAACAAGGCTCAATTAGAAACCATTCAAACTCTCTTAGGTCATTCCAGTGTCCAAACCACCGAAAAGTATATCCAGTATGACCGGGAAACTTTGTATGCTGATTATAGTCGATTGTGGAAAACGCCAGAAACAAGTATAACTCAACCAGTAATTTGTAGCCATGAAGAAGCAGCATAATTGAATTACGGTTAGCCCGGTTCTTCCGCTAGAAGTTTTTATTTGCCAAAACTGCCAAGGAGTAAAAGTGCGAGATTATCAAGGCAAATTCCACTATTTTTACCAAGGCAGAATCCAACATTGTTAAGAACTAACCACTTATGAATTACCGAATAGATAGAAATAACTATTACCAAAAACCCAAGAACTCTAATATTTACACTCCCCAAGAAGTTAGTCAGTATTTATTTAACTTACTAATTTCTTTTTTTCCTAATAAAGAAAGTTTAATTTTTGACCCTTGCTCGGGTTTTGGTTCTCTGCTAGAGCCGTGAAAGAAAAACGGCTACCGAACTTATGGCAATGAAATTGACTCCTCCTTCCTCAAACGGGGTTTAGCCGATGGGGATACTGATTTTTTAAATAATTGAACTTCCCTTTATGCTTTGACTCCCGAATTAATCCTCTGTAATCCTCCTTTTAATGGCTACAAAGGGAAACTAGGTAGTGAAGTCTGATTAGCCAAAATAATTAGCCTGTTTGGCAAGAATATTCCGCTAGTTCTTTTTACCTCCTTTGGTTTGTGCTTAAACCTAACTCTAAAAAGCAAACGGCACCGGAAATTTACTAATGGCGAGTATCCGCCTATTAGTTCGGTGATTAGATTACCCAAAAATGTTTTCCCTAATGTGTTATTCCATAGTGAAATATTGCTTTTTAACATCCCAAATTTACAACCCCATTATTTTTATCATGAAATTTAAATACGACTATCTCACTAATCGACTGTGAAAACTAGACCCCACTAGCCCCGAATACTGTTATGAGATTGATGAAGCCAGCCAATTTACGGCTAACTTTGGTGGCAATGGTTTTATCGTGGGCGAAGGTAGTTGAATAACTTTCACCGTTTACGAGAAAAAAATTAAGGTTTTTGCTAAGTTCTGCCAAAATGGCGAGACTATTTATTACCGCCGAGAGTTTACTCCGATTCCCCTTAATCAATTACCTTTATGTGTTCCTAATTATGCTCGCGACATTAAGTTTGAATTTACGGAGGAGGATAGAGTGGAAAAAATAAATGGTCAATGACAAAAAAAAGAACCAGGCTAAAACAGGTTCCGCCAGATTATTTCCTGATTAGGGTCAGCAAAAAAAATACTTTCGCTGGCTCTAATGGGGAGATAATTTTTTGGCAAGAAGTTTTTATCTCTCCTAAAAAAAAAGCATTAACGCGATTTCGGAAGCAATAAGATGCACCAGTAAGAAATTATTGGTAGAGAAGCCCACCTCCTCCGAAATAAAAAAGGAGCGTAAAACTAGTAAACTGACAGAATAACCCGGATTAAGTCCGTCAATTATGGAAATTACTAGGGGAGAGGCTAAGAGTTAATAACTGCTTAGTGTCCTTCATGGAAAAAAAGGACTGGAAGCCTTGCCGGGTGAGGTTAAACATCCGGTCAGTAGGCGAGTAGTTTAGCAATTCTGCTCGGAAAATCTAAAAACTAAGTTTCAGAGAAGGAGGATTTTTTTTTTTACCTTCTCTTATCTAATATTTAACCTACTGAAAAAAGAGTAGAATTCTCACTTTCTCTCTCTCGCCTATTAGCGTAATATAGACAGAACTACAATTGACATGCAGAAATATGAAAACTAACCAATTAACCTCAACCGAAACTAAATACTTAAGAATGTTTGACAGACGGGACATTCGCATCAGAATTGCCCGAGAAATCAAGAATAAAAGCAAATATCCTTTAATTGAAAATTGAACTAAATATTACAGTGAACCACTTACCATTAGCCAAATGTTAGAGCAAGGGTATAACTATGGAATCAGAACTGGTCGACCGATTGGTAATTATTTTAATGTGGTGATTGATTTAGATGATATTTGAGCCCAAGAACGGATAAAAGACAGCCGCCATATTGAAACTAACAAGGGCATTCACCGCTATTTGCTGATTAAGGAACTCCCAAAATCCTGCTTTTTGGTAAATAAAGACGGTCAACAAATTGGAGAAATCCATAGTCGCGGACGGCAAGTAGTTGGTATAGGCTCTACTCACGCCCACGGAACTCGTTACACACTCAAAGGCAGAGTTAATATTAAGTTTCGGTTAA